TGGGTGTTAATAACAAATTTGTATAGAAGTTCATGCCGGCTATACAAGTCCAAAGACAGATAAGTCAAAGATATACTGATTTAATCTTGTTTTTATTTCAGTTTGACTTTAAATATAAAGACTGCTGTCTCTGACCTTCTTACGGCGTGTCTTCACTCACTCTTTAACACTCCTTTTAGCCTCTCGTTGTTTCAGCTGGAGCCCTGAACATTTATCACTCCTCTTCTCTCCTCCTCTCTATTCTTTCTGTCTTCACTTGATTTCTCTATATCCTTTATCCATCCATTATTCTCTCCCTGCCCTTTGTCATCTCCGCTCACCGCTCTATTTATACATACCTCTCTCATCCATCTTTCACAGAAGACCTCTTGGGGAAGAAGATTTCTTAGGAGGGTCTTAGAATAGGACTACTGATCTGAGAGCAGTGTCTGTCAACTTAAATTTGTACAGATGCAAAAAAATTATAATGAATTTCCAGAGTCACCACATTTAAGTGTACAGAGATGCATCCCATCCAAGACCACTGAAGGAAGTCAGAGTGGGAGTTGCACAATTGTGCCAATTAAGCGGATATTTAATGAACTGTAATATGATATTTGACCAATGTTCCTCGTGATATATAGAATTTATCATGTGCATAAAGCATGCATGCTCCATACACATCACTTCTTCTTCTCGAATTCATACAAAGATGTTGCTCAGCTGACTCAGAAAAAACTAACTGTAGGGAGACTTTTTGTGCAAGACACATTTTCATCAAGATCTACAAACAGTGTTATTAAAGTCCTTGAAGAAAAGCTAAAGGCATTGTTCTGACTATCTTCTTCTGTGACAGTGTCTGTGTGTGAGCCTCTTGGTGCTGACTCATTTTTATTGTTGATAATTTTGCTCTAGCATCCAGACTGAAATGGAAATATCTTAATAACTGTTGGGTCAAATGTAGAGGATGAATCCCTTTGTTGCTGGTGTTCGCCAAGCTTTCCTGCAGCACACCAATGAGGGTCACCATCTTGGTCTTTAGTCAAACTTCAGCTATTTGTTGGAACAGTCCGGGCAGCCAAGAGGATCTGAATTATGTTGTTTTTCTGGTGCTAACACGACACTGACGTTTCCTGCACAGCGAAAGGCCATTTCCCACATTTCTGCATCCATTCTTGTCAACAGCTGCTGATGAACACAACAGCTGACTTGCAACTATGCAAACT